CCTACCTAGAACTATTTTAAATCAAATCATTTATTCATCTTAACTATTATTAATTAGCTTAAGTGTCACTTAATTAATTTATAATTTAATATAGTTTTTAGGTATTTCAAGAATGCGCATAAAAGTTATTGCATCAATATCTTTTATGCGCACTTTTATACCAAAAAAAAAATACCAATTTTTTTTTTGGTATTTTTTATTTTGCTACAATATTGATCACCTAGACTAATAAAAATAGTATATTACTGTTTTTATACGTTCAATTTTCAAAAGATTTAAGTAGTAAAAAACAGGAGCTTATTGGCTAAGAACAGTTTTTATTCCTCCGTGATACTTCACTTCTTGAACTTTTTTTTGAATAAACTCATCAAATGCGGTAGGCTTGTTCTTATGAGTATACTCTCATTAAAATATCTATAAGTAACAATGGTAAGGAAGGCGGGACGGCACTCTGTGATAAGCAAAGCTTCTAGGAGCACTTTTATAATTAAACAGATGTATTTAAAAACAAAAAAGCAAAGGCTGTTTCAAACCGAGCATTACGGCTTCTTGTTATTTTGTGAAAATATTGACTTGAGGGGTGTTACTAAAACATTTGCAACTTTTGAAATATTTAAAATATCTTTGTTTTGTATAAACAATAAAAACACCAATAAAATATTTCATCTTACGACATATTATACAAGAGTAAAAAAACTTCTTATAGTTTAGAATAGGCTCGACTAATGATGAACCTTGCTAAATTTTAGTAATTTGATGTTCATTTTTATAAGAAAAAAGTCAGAAAATATGTATTTCTGATATTTATTATCAAATGCATTGATTGTTTGACTATTGTAAAAATAAAAAAAAACCTTACTTAATAGGTTTTATGGAATTAATTGAACAATAAAAGTTTCTAATCGATTCCCAAAAAGGGTTTAAGTCAGGTAAAAAAATGTAAATTTCAATTTTAAAGTTACTTAACAGTTTTCTGTTTACAAAAAATTGTATAATATGTATGATGACATTAGGAAAAAATATTTCTGTATTACTTTAATAAATGGAATTATTAAAAACTACTCTGATCACCACTTTATATTAATGCTCAGTCAAAATGTCCTAGAGAAACCTGAAACAAAAAAAAACTAACTAATGTTTTTTAATTCAATAGTTATCAAACCTGTTTTTTTATTTTATTCCAAATTTTTATAGGAATCTATAAGACTACGGTTACTTTTAAAAGTTAAATAAAAAATAAAAGTATCTGAAGCATGAGTTTCAATTCTGGCTCTGACCAGATAAACAACATCGGTTTAGAAGGTGAAGATGTTGGTTAAAGTACTATTCTGCGGTGCTCTGTGATAAGACCGTGAAGTTCTTAGAGCACCTTAATAACTTAAAAAAAAAAGGTAAAATTATTTTTAAGTTATTAAATTTATTCAAACAAAAACCCGATACATAAACAATAGTGATAAAAATTTTGATAATTTATTGAATTTAAAGTTTATGAATAATCCGCTTTTTAAATTGTGTTCGACAGTGATATCCAAATTGTAAAACTTTATATGCAACCGGCACACCACAACAACATATTTTTATGTCATGCTAAATCTTTAGTATGAGGTAAACTCTACTTTTTTTCATCTTAAACTTCAACAGCGCTCGACCTGCATTTTGAGAACTCCACTTACAATTCTTAGACATAAGCCGCGGCTTGCCATTTGTTACCATCCTAACAAATCAAAAAATCAAACATTAAAATTCTGAAAAACAAAATTTCTCTAATAAAAATCTAGCAATTAAAATCAGGATAGGCATTTTTTTTTTTTTTAACTTTTTATTAAACTGATAAATTTTTTAGTAAGAACTTAATTACTAATAATACTTTTAATAGTACTATTACAATAAATTTAAGTACTATTAAAAAAAAATAATAATTCAGTATAAAAGTTGAATAATATAAGGTATATAAAAATGTGTGAATGTATTTTTATATTAATATAAATTATTAATTTTATTAATATGCAATACACACACACATACACACACGCTCAGACACACATAAACACACCGTGACACACACTTACTCACACGCGCGCGCAAAATTATTATTACTAATAGAAATATAAACTTTAACTTGGAAAATTTTTTTAAACTTCTTTTATTGTCCCTGGCCACCAGTATTAAACTTTGTTGCATATTGTCAGATTTATATCCACCTAAAAAGTCCTGAATAAGATATATATATTTTTTTGCACAATCTTTGACGCAAGTCAAATTTTAAACAAATTTTTTGAATAAATCTAATGAACTTGGGGCTTTTCCATCCTCCACAACTGTACTTCACCATCAGGGGCTTCTGCAATTTTTAACATAAGCCAAATTTCTGGACCAAAGTTTCCAAATCACAGTGGACTCCAATATGATTGGTAGCTCAGGTTTTCTAATCTTGAAGTTGAATCTCTTAGTTCAGTATGATGTTCCTTGTCAGGAACATCATACTGAACTAATCTATCCAAAATTTCTTTTCACTTCCTGCTTCCTGCTCATCAGTCAGAGATAGCAACACTAACTGTTCAGTCAAGTACGAGTTGTCTTTGCATACTAGCAACCAATGCTGAACCAAGATTAGGATATTTTTCTTTGATGCAAAAAGCATTCTTAAAAGCGGCAAGATCATTAGAGTGATATTAGGACCAAAGACTTTAGAAACCAAGGTGCATACCAGACGATGTGATGAAAATGATGTGAAAAAGGCTGCTGCTTTATCTTTTTTTCCACTTTGCTCATAATCATGGTGATCTTATCGGTTATTCTCAGGGTAAGAATGTATAAGGCATCAGCCATAAACCTAATTAGTAAGATTTTGTTACCATTAATATTTGTTTATTATATTTTTTTATTTATTATAATTTTTTCTTTAATATACTGTACCTAGCTTCATGGCAGGCTCTAGGTTAATAAAAATACAGTCAAGGCACTACTTCTCCCAAATAGAAAACAAAAAGCTCGTATAGTTCCCTGTAATCACTTCTCACAAAAGTTTTTGAGGCAAGGGCCTTTTTTTCCAGAGCTTTCTTAGCAATTTCATAAAGGGATGACTCAGCCTGAAGCTGACTCTAATCAAACCTAACTAGATCTATCATCTTGTCAACCTCTTTTTTGAAAAAACACCAATTTTTCTGGAGTTTGACATACAGCCCTTTCCTTGGGCCCTTTGTCTTCTTTTTAGTCAAAGCCTCCATAAAGTGTGAGATGTGTATTTCTAGCATGTCTTCTACAGAGAAACCATATAAGTGGAATATTAAAAATGGAGCTAAGGATAACAACAATGCAGTAGTGTCACAGTTAACAGTAAATATTTGATCTACGATGCCCTTATATTCTAGCAGATTCAAATTGCTTCAGCCTGGTCACTACCTTTAGAACTTGGTGTCTGAACAGCACATAGCAGAATGTCATCTATGTTATCCATATCAGGATATAACACTAAATGCTATTTTTTTTACAGAAACAGTTATTATTAGATCTTCTTCAATCTGTTTTATCCTTTTTCCATCAAAATGAACACGTAGCTTTTTTCCATTTAGAGTAGCTATAATTACTTGCCTGAGATCATCTATTAATGTCTCAATCTTTTTGACTCTTTTTCTATGGACTGTACTTTTTGATAGATTAATATCTTCTAGATTTACACCAGTTTTATTGCAAATAACAACTACTAATGAAGTTTGTGGACTTATACCTACTCAGTATCAGGCAGAAACTGCAGCAGTACAGTCTACCAGATCTTCATCACTTATACTTATCATTATTTTAGATTTAGTACAATATTTAGTAAAATCTAATAGGTAAATTTTCATTATCTGAAGAATCTAAACTAAGTTCCGGTTCAGAAACAACTCTAGATGAATAAAAAGAAGTCTCAAGTTTATAGAATTTTACTACATGAATAGTGATACTACTTTTACCTCTTGCTTCCTCCATCCTCTTGAGCCAAATATTTTAAATTTTAACTGAATTTTGTAATACTTCATCCAGTTCTTCTGTAATTTACATGTTTTGCTCTTTTTTTGATCTAGATAGAACTTAACATCCTCTTTTTTGGCATTCTCAGAACTAAAACGATCCTGATTTACTTTTTGTTCTAAAAATTGCCAATGAAATATCAAAGAGCCTTTAAAAAATTGCTCTCCTCTAAAAACTTATTCTGTATCTTAGAGAAGTTGCCATCGCTAGAGTTCCAATTCAATGATTTGAGATGCTGCAGATTTATCCACTTATTATGGATTTCAGTATTTTATCTCTGACACTATATCCACTGATAATAAAATCTTGAAACCCTGCTTTCTTCCAAGCATAATTTACAGCGGGGGCAACACATCTTAGTCAATAATTGCCTGACCTCAGAAGCATAAAAACAGGGATCTGATCTAAACAGATCAGATTTAAGGTTCCGTGCTTCTGAGGCCAGGCCACTATCAACTTTGTAAACTGAAATCTTATTGATCTTAATTAAAAATAGACAAGTATTTACCATAATGGTTTTTTTGATCTTACATTAATTTTGGCCTTATTGTGTCTTATTTTAAACAGTTAGGGGTGGAGATATTAGATTAAATATGTATTGCATAAAACATTTTTAATTTTTATCAATGTTTTATAGTATATTTATATATAAAAAATAATTATTTGTTCTACCTGGGAGATTTTAGAAACTGGATCTCAGAATATTTCTGATGGTTGCCAATCGGCTTATTGGAAGCTCATTGATTGTGTACTTTAGGAGAAACATAAGCCTCCTTGGATTAGTTGACATGCTGTACTTTCTCTTCTCAGCCTTCTTTTTTTTATTTTTTTGAGTACGACCCATTTTATTTAATACTTTTATTATTAGCTAATGCTAAACAAATTTTTTAAAGTTTTGTTTTAGTTTCCCCCTAAAAAAAATACATTTAGTTATACAATTTTCAAGTAAATTATATATAATGTATATTCAAGGTATACATAACTATTACATAATTATATATGAAAAAACTTTACCTTTTAAAAAAATATATTTAATTTTTAATTATTACATTAAGCAGTTAAAACCAAAAGAATAGACAAAATCCAGTTTAAAAAAAACAGTACTATTGAAGAACTTTCCAAATTTATTAACTAATAAAATTTACCTATTAAAAATTTATTAACTAATAAAATTTACCTAAATATTACCTACCTTTATAAGTTATAATTTGGAAGCAATAAATCTTTTAACATAAATTCTTTCATTGCTTGTTGAAAACTTTTTTTGAATTCTAGTTGAATAATTAAGTAATTATCTAACATCTCTGATGATACCCAAGAAACTTGCTTTTAAGAAGCAAATTAAAGTTAATTGCCTAAATATTCATCTGATATCTCAGAATTTTCAAAAAAAGATCTTTTTTGTTTAGTTCATATTTGACAACATAAAAGTAACATGTGACTTGCTACATAAAAGAATTTCCATCAATTAAAAAACAATAGATTTACATTTTTATAATATTTATTATCCAACAATATTTATTCTTGGACTAGTTTAAAAGAGTAGTATTTTTTTTCTTTAAAAATTTTTCACATTATATTAAAAAAAAATTGTTGTGGGCTGTGAGGTATTTATTGGTTGAAGAATGATAACAGCTACCATTACTATGCATGAAAATGTCACAACAGCAATCAGTTAGTTATAAGAACAAAATTGGTGTGCATCAGGGTTTAGAATTTTTTTTACTTTTCTTGTTATTTTGTTTAGGAAGATCTCTTTAAAGTGTTCAGTGTTAGTTTATTCATGGAATTATTTAACAAAGACATTTATGATTAATTGCAGAGACAAAAAAAGATTTTTTACCATCATTTCAGTGTTGGAAAGCTGGAATGAAAGCAAGAGCTTAGGATAGCAAGAATAAGACAAAAATCTAACTATTTCAGAGATACCTTTAGTTAGGCTGGTGGGTTTGTTCCAAAATTATTATCTATGATAATGGTGATGATTTCACATATGCAAGAAGCTTGAACACTCAATAATTTATTGTTTAATTTTAAAAACATCATAAATCATTTTTAGAAATTACATTAGTCAGACTCTTCAGCCCACGCCTTTAAAGTGTTGACGGAAAGGTCTGACATGTATGTAACACGTATCTAGCCTCATGTAACATATTCCCTGTGATCCATCATTATTTTCCAAAATTGACTTATAGTGTCTCTAAAATGACCCTTTCAATTGTTAAGTCAATGATATTAGAAACCAATAGTTTAAATGTGACATCTAATGTAATTCATAGTCAAAAATAATTTATTTAAAACATTTTCTTAAATTAACTTTAAAATGAACCTTTTTTTCTGCAAACAACAAATTGGGTCAGAGTCAAGAAGTTTTATTTTTGTTAATTTTTATTGCTAAATTTTAAAGGACAACAAAAATATTTCATTGAGTTATTTCATCATATAATTCGATTAAAATTAGTTAATTGAATAAACAATAGTTAATTAAATAAAAATAATTAATTGAATAAGCAATAGAATAATCAAGTTGACAATATTAGTAATTTGAATTAAATTATAACAAATTAATTTAAAAATTTACCTTTTAATATAACTTGTATGAATAGTAGATATGCATTTCTTTAAATTGATCTGTTTTTGAGTTTGTTTATGAGCTATTTTTTAATTGCTTTTTTAATTGTAAACAGAGCAAATTTGAGTAAACAGAGATTTGGAAGTGAACAGATTAAAATCAATACAACACTTAAATATATTACGAGAGAGTACAATGTAAAATAGTTTTTATACAGCAATCTAAAAATAAGTTTATAGATTTTATTAAGTTGTATATTATTATCAAAGTTTTGCTAGCTCAATACAGTAGCTCAATATTAAGGTTGAACTTATAAAATTTTCATTTACATTGACCTACTATTAACTGCTAATAAAATGGCTGCTATCAACTAATAAACTATTGATAATAAAGTGACTGCTATCGCTCTTTTGCTTTTTGCTCTTTTAAATGACAGTTTAATAAAAATTACTGTCACAATAAAAGCTGGTTATGTCATCAATTTCTTCACTTAAACAAAATTTTAAATAATTAAATAAAGAAAAAAAAAATGAAACTATAATACTTTTAACGAAGACATTTTTTAATCAAATTTTAGAAAAAATGTTTAAACATCTCACCTGTATACTAATCCTTCCATGTTTGTTTTAAGAAAAACCATTCTAAATAAAAAAAACTTTATAATGAAAAGTTGTCAACAAAAGAAAAGAGCCTCAAAAAATGACTTTATCACAATTATTTAGGTAACAAAATTATTTATTAAGAGAGTTAAAGTGATAATAATGTAGATTAAACAAGAGCTGCAGTTATTGATTAAATAATATATTATTAAAATTATATAGATCACTGCATAACATTAAGACCAACAGGTTAAACGTCTCCCAATTTTATTTCATATAATTGTAGATGCTTAAATAGTAAATGCTGCTTAAATAATTTTTTTTGTATAAAAAATGTTTAAAGTTTATCAGAAGTATTAAAAAACTCATTTTTGTATACCCTATTTACCCTCTAAAAATAAAAAAGTTACCCCCCTTTAAACTTATAATAACTCCTTAAAAGAAAA